CTCGGCGCCTCTCGCCGCCGATCTCGAGATGGAGGAAGAGCTGCTGGGCCACGAGACCGAGGCGCTCGACCTGCGCACGGTGCTGCGCCAGGGTTCGCAGCTCGAAGCTGAGCGGGCCGCCTGGCGCCACGAGCACCAGCGCAGCATGAACTCGCTGACAGCCTCAATCTTTTCCCGGCGCTCGGATCGCTCGCTCCGCAGCAGCAGTCGGCCGACGCACGCCGCTTCCAGCTCGAAGGGCAGCACAGGAGACATGGCACTCGAGGGGACCGCGCCGGCACCCGGCCGCTCGGATCTGCGGTCCATGTTTGACGACCCGGCTGACAAGGGCAAGCAGCCCGAGAGGCCTGGAGACGAGGCCGGTCGCCGCATCGTCTGGACGGACAAGAGGACGGGCCGCTCTTTTCTGGTGATGGACGACGACGATGCCTTTGGGCGAACGACGGCTCGACCTTCGTCGAGGAGCGATGTGGACGTTCGAGCCAGCCGCGACAGGCACAGCGCCTCAAGGCTGTCGATCAACCCGAGCTCTGGCATGACCTTCTGTCAGCCGCTTGCCCTGTGCCGCGCCGCTCCGGCTGCGTCCAAGAAGTCGTCCAGCTCCTTACTTCCACCACCGTCTGGAGAGGGGGAGCACGACGAGAAGACGGCCAGCAGCCCGCAGCCAGCCACGCTGGGCCAACGCCTGCGGGCCAGATCGCTCAACTTCCGGAGCACCAAGAGCGCCACGCGTCCTGCTCGTCCATCCGCCATTGAGCGGCCCATCTCGCGAGCTGATACGTTGGCATCGCAGTTCCGGCGTCCGAGCGGCACTCTGGAACGCTCGCTGGTGTCGGACGAGCCCGTCGTCATCGGCAAATTTACCTTCCCTGCTCCGCCAGAGCGAACCGACTCCACTCGCGACGGCGCTCGGCAGGAGAAAGCACGGCAGGTCGGGCAGAGCCGGCACCATGGCTCGTTTCTCGAGCTGGCCCACCTCTCGGGCGAGGCTGAGAAGCTTTCAGATCCGGGCGACGATGCACACAAGGGTGATCCCTCGCAGGTCGGTCTGGCGCTGTCGACGCATTCCGACAACACGTCGCTCTGGGGCTCGCACAGCGACATCGAGGCGCTCGTGTCGTCGGTATGGGCGAGCGACGAGCAGGCGCCCCACACGCTACCGTCGGGCCGATATCCGACGAGGGGCTACCATCGGCCGACCAACAGCGGAGAGATCCGCGCACAGCTGAGCCATTCGCGCCTGGCCTCTTCGAGCCAGGCAGCATCGCAGGCCCAGGTGGCGCCACCGACATCGCGCTTCGACGTCAGCGGCAGCACCAGCGTCCGCAGAAAGTCTGCCGAAGCCGGCGTCGTGGCAGCTCCCCCGGCTCCCCCGCCTCGGGTCCCATTGCCGCCGCCGCCATCGTTTCCCGTCTCCTCGGTGCCGGTGCCGGTCGAAGTTACCGGGAGCGAGGTGCCCGAAGGACGCATTCACCTGCCACCTCAAGGTTCGGGAGAATTTGACCGGAGCGTCCATCTCCGCACCGGTTCGATGGGCAGCTACGCTGACCGCTCGTCGCTGCCGGTGCCGCCCCGTAAAGCGCGATCCTCGACGCTGCTGGCGGCCAACGCGCGGTCCGGCGAGGCCGACACGTCCAACGCGGGCTCGGGCGGTCCCTTTCGAACGCCGCGCCTCGAGGCGAGCACGGGTGGTTCGTCGTCGTTTGCCTTTTCGCCCGAGGTCCTCCACCTCACACCGCCTCGACCGACGCCTCCTCGACGAGGACCGCACGAGTGGTCGTTCGACATGCCCAGGAACCGCCGCGAGGACGCCGAGGGCGGCCACCACGACGGCCATGGCGACGGCCACCTCGACGGCGACGGCGACGGCGAGGATGACGAGGACGACGGTGAGGACGACGACGACGACGACGACGGACCGGGTCGCCCGCTGCGTGCGTGGCGAAGCCGCGGCAGCATCGACAGCCTCGGCCGGCGCAGATCGACGAGGCGCAGCGGCGACGGCGATGGCGACGGCGCGCGGTCGTACCTGACCGAGGCCCACTCGAGGACGTCGAGCATCGACGGCCAGCCGGTGCTGTGGGACGCCAACGAGGCCAGCATCGAGAACCTCTTTTTCCGCCCGCCCGCCAGCGGCCCTACGTGGATCTGAGGCGTCCGCTCGCCGTCACTGCCACCCGTCATCGTCGCCGCCATCTTGGACACGCAAGCAACTTCCGGCAAACGAAGACGCGCACGCGAACCCAAAACCAGACCGACACGCGCGCCGTCGCGCGCGCATACCCCTCTCTCACATATACACCGCCACGGGCAGCCCCTCTTTTTGCACATATCCTCGGCATCGCTCTGCTCTGCTCGCTCACTCGGCACTGCTCGTAGCCCTTTGCCCTTCGCTGTTTGCTCTCGACCCTGTTGTCCGCCAGTCTCTGCCTACGCTCTCTACTCTTATCGACCTCTCACCGCCCCTCGTTTGTTCACCCGGCCAATCACTGCTGCATCGCTGTCGACATGACAGGCTGCGCCAGATCGGCGCCCCTCGTGGCGCAGCATAGGACAGCGACGATTAACGCCAGTCGCGAGATCGGGGAGCGTTGAGCTTGCCCACCGGCCAACGGCGCCGTCTACCGGCCGACGGCCCTCCTCCTCTTTCCCTCTTCTGCCATCTCCCGTGCGACGGCCTCGTCTCTCGCCTGCAACCAGCGTCGTCTGCGGTCCTCGCGCTCCCTCTCTGCCTCGGCTTCGACCTTGATCCTCTGCTGCGCTTCGACGAGGGCGGACTCGACGTCGGCCCTGCTGTCCTCGAGACGGCCGAGGCGTTGGAGGAGCAGGCTGCGCTCGACGTCGATCTCGACCTCCTTGGTGTTTTGCCAGTCCCAGTGCCGCTTGCACTTGCGCTTGGGCACCGAACATCGCCTCTCCCCTTTGTCGTCGTCGTCGTCGTCTTTGCCATCAGGAACCCCGTGCACGCCGTTGGTGATGCCGTTGCTCGTCGACGACGACGGCAAGGTGGGAGCGACGGCATCAAAGATGGCGTCGCGTCGGTGCTCGGCATCGAGCCAGTGCGACAGCCGCTCGTCGTCCCACGCCAGGATGCGGTCGAAGCCGCACTTTGGTCCGCCGCCGTCGGGTGCCGGCGAGAGGGACGATAACGACTCGGATACGAGCTGGAACAGCCGCTGCCTCGCGTCGAGCAAGTCGAGGTGCGTCTTTAGCCGCGCCTTTGTCGCTTCGAGGGCCGCGAGCTGGATCTGGACCGTCTTGAGCTGTGCTTGCGACGGTAGCGCCAGCGTCCCGCCGCCCGTCGTCGCCGCCGTCTTGATAGGCAGAGAGGCGACGGTGCTCCAGCGATCCGATGGCCCCAGTGACGCGAGCAACTTGCTGGTCTGGACGGCCTCGAACGTCCTGTGCCACCTCTGTGCCCGCTGGCTTGTTTCCTCGTCCATCTCCGTCGGCCCGCGCGCAGCAGCGGCGTTGGGTTGTGGCTGCTCTTGGCCGCCGTCTGGTCCCCATACGACGCTACCCTGCGGCTTCCTGGCCAGCTTGACGTTCTGGTCGGCCTCTAACCGCGCGAGGGCGTTGGACGATTTGAGGATTTTGCACTTGGCCATGCGCTCCGAGATGGTGAGGACGCCGCAGCGTTCCGAGCAGTAGCGCGAGAGCGGGGCGGCGGCGGGCTGGGGACACCCGTCGCGCCGGCATTTGGGCGACCAGGTGGTGCGGTCCGAAGTCACTGCGAGGGCGGCGCGAGAAGGCGGGGAAAGGGGAAGGTGTGAGCTCGAGGAGGCGGGGGGGGGGGGG